GGGAGAAAGATGAGGCTTTCTACTCCCGTAAAGATTTACACCCTCGGAAACCCTGTACAGGGTCGCTATGAGTCGTTTCCGACTCCACGGCACATAACAACAACAACAACAAATTGGCCATAAAAAGTAAAACTCTCTCTATTTACAGATGGTATGATTCTATACATAGAAAATCCCAATAACTAAGCAAGAAAATTATCAGAACTCATTGAAATATTAAGCCAAGTGGCAAGGTATAAGACCAATACACAAAAATCAGTTGGATTCCTATACACTAATAAAAACAGCTCTGAAAAGGAAATCAGGAAAGCAATACCATTTTACAACAGCCACCCAAAAGATGAAATACTTATGAATAAATCTAACCAGTGAAACAAAAGACCTATACAAAGAAACCTATAAAACATTATTTGTTTAGACAGAAATGGGCAACTTGGACATTAGCTACCCAAAATGGGGGGTGCTACAAAGGCAAGAAGTGACTGGCTTACAAGCTCTCAAGAAGAAGCCTAGATCCAGAGGGCGTGGAGGAAGGTAGAATCTCCACTGAGTAGTATCCAATCTGTCTGGGCGGGGCTGATGAAAGGAGATGTAGCTAGGTCTCTTGTGATACAATAGTGAATAATTATTATCAGGACTGATTGTGAGGGTTGGAAATGTAAAGGTAGATGTTTTGTAACAAAAGGAGGGGAGTGACTGACTTTGCAGTCTAAGAGCAGAGATCCCTGGGATCATCAAGGGAGAAGAGCAGAGAGTGAGACCCTATCCAGGGAAGCAGTGAAGCCAGAGATGGAGGCAGAGACGATGACGTGGAGTGATGGAGCGGCTGGGGACTTTAGACCCAGAGAGGGAGAGAGGCTGTGTGCAGGGTATATACTCTTTGGTTGGTTGATGATGCATGGAGAGGACTGCAACCATGGAAATGAAACGATATACGATACGATGAATGTAAAGCTAATGTTCTCTCATGTAAACTATCACATAATTCACAATAAAACATTAAAAAACAAACATTATTTGTTAAGACATGAAAAGAGGGAGCAGCTGAGGACTCTGGACTCATGGAAAGAGAGGGATTAGGTGCTGACAGCCTGGTTGTAGGCTCGCAGAATGTGCCCTTTTGGTTGTTTAAATTATTATTCCTGAGTGTTTCTATGTACACCTCCCCTCCAAAAAACAAAAACAAAAAAAAACAGAGGGAATGGAAGCAAATACTGTAGAATGATGATGCATGAAGATTGTAATCATTGCAATGAAGTATGGCGCAAAGCTAATGTTCTCCCATATAAACTATCACTCAGTTCACAATAAAAACTTAAAACAAAACAAAACAAAACAATACTTGTTGTTGTTAAGTGCTGTCAAGTCAGTTCTGACCCATAGCGACCCTGTACAGGGTTTCCGAGGAGCAGCTGGTGAGCTTGAATCGCTGACCTTGCAATTCAAACCAACTCTGCAGTCCAGCACATTAACCCACAGTGCCACACATTACTACAAGAAACCAAAAGGGACTTACAAAAAAGGAACAATATACCATGTTCATGGACAGGAAGATTTAACATTGTGAAAATGTCAATACTACCCAAAGCAATCTATAGATATAACACAATCCCAATCCAAATTCCAACTTTGCTCTTTAAAGAGATGAAAAAATGATCACTAACTTTATAGAGAGAGGAAAGAGACCTCAAGTAAGCAAAGCATTACTTATGATGAATGAAGTTGGAGGCCTCTCACTCCCTGTTCCCAAAAGTTACTATATATCCACAGTCAAACAGCCTGGTACTGGTACAGACAAAGATACATGGATCTTTGGAATAAAATTGAGAACCCAGAAGTAAATCCATCCACATACAGTCAGTTGATCTTTGAAAAAGTGCCAAAACACATTATGGGGAAAAGATAGTCTCTTCAACAAATACTGCTGGCAAAACTAGGAATCCATTTGCAGAAGAATGAAACAAGACCCATATCCCACACCAAAACCAAACTCAATGTGGATTAAAGACCTAAATATAAATCCCAGAACTATAATGATCATGAATGGAAAAAAAAAAAGACAAACTTAGGGACTCTAATACATGGCATAAACATACTATCAAACATTACTAAAAACACACAAACAGCAGAAGACACCATAGATGACTGAGACCTTCTAAAAATTAGATACGCATGTGCATCAAAAGATTTCGCCTAAAGAGTAAAAAGAGAGCCAAAAGATTAGGAAATAAATCTTCTGAAATGACATATCAGAGAAGGGACTAATCGCTAAAATTTATAGAAAATTACCACACCTCTGCAAAGAAATGACAATTCAATCAAAAACTGGGCACAGGGCATGAACATACAGTTCACCAAAGAAGACATTTAGACAGCCAACAAACACATGAAGAAATGTTAACAATGAAATGTTAAGTGCTGTCGAGTTAGTTCCTACCCATAGCGACCCTGTATAGGTTTCCCAAGGAGCGGCTGGTGAGCCTGAACCACTGCCCTTGAGGTTCAAACCAGCTTTGCAGTCTAATGCATTAACACAGTGCCAAAAAGCAAATCAAAATAATAATGAGATCTCATCTCACATCAACACTAATAACAAAATTCAAAAATACAGAAAACAACAAATTCTGACAAGGGTCTGGAGAGACTGGGACCCTCCTATATTGTTGGTAGGACTGTAAAATGGTTTAACCACTCTGGAAAACGGTATGGCAATTCCTTAGAAAGTTGGAAATAGAAATACCATATGACCCAGAAATCCCGCTACTTGGCATATATCCACAAGAAATAAGAGCCAGGACACGAGGAGATATATGCACACTGGTGTTCATTGCAACATGACTCACGATAGCAAAAAGATGTCGACAGCCTAAATGCCCATCAATGGAAGAATGTATTAAAGAAACTTTGGCACATACAGACAATGGAATATTAGGCAATGTTGAATAATCTGCTTAACACTCAGAAAACCAATGAACCCGGAGGACACTATGTTGAGTAACATATGTCAATCACAAAAGGACAAATATTGTATGAGACCACTATTGTAAAACACAAGACAGGTTTTCATACTAAAAGAAGCATTCTTTGATGGTTACCAGGGGTAGAAGGGAAGAACAGTAGTTACTAACTAGACGGTAGACACATGTTAACTCAGGTGACAGGGAATATACAAGAAGAGGGAGGTTGGCAGAAGAATGATGAAAATAGGTGAAGACACAGGGAGGTGGAAGGGCTAAAGGGAATGAACAGAGGTCAACAGTAATATATACACAACCCTCGAACAACAGTATATAGATACGTGAACAGAGACACAGGTTGAATGGGTATGATATATACATCCCATATATGAAATATGTGATATAAATGAAAATTTGAATGAAAGAGAGTATTTGTAAATGAATAACCATAGGGAGGAAGCAGGACAACTGATGTTGCATGGAGGGAACTACATCGAGATGAAACAAAGTGTATGATTTGTTGAGTATCATATAGATGATCTTGTCTGTAAGCCTTCATTTAATTCAGAACAAAAAGTTAAGACCAAAAAAGTCTTTATTACTCTTCCTTAATCAACTTCCACATGGGATTTATTTCCACTGTACTTACTGCTAAAGGAACCCAAACGGTCCATTCCCTGACTGCCAAAGTCTACAGCTTTGATCTTCTTCACTGCAGAATTCTGTCAAGATTTTAGAAATCGCCAACACATACGCCAAAACTTGATGAGCTCCTACAAACAAACATAGTGCATGGATCAGGAAATAATTCAAAAAGACAAGAAAAAGAAAGGATAATGCAATGTACTCAGTTCTACCATATCCTGGCTTTATAATGTTGAACCAATAATTTTATCTCTATAAGCCTATTTCCTTCTTCTGTAAAACGAGGTGTATTATGTACTTCCTAGAGAATATATGGAGTCCTGATGTGGTACTGTAGGATAAGCACTAAACTGCAAACTGCAAGGCTGGCCGTTCAAACCCACAAGCCACTCGTTTGAAACCCTATACAGGGTCCCTATGAGCTGAAGGCGACTTGATGGCACTCAACAGCAGAAAATATATAGTTGTAAAAACTACCTATCATAACCAAATACAACCCATAAAAATAATACAGTGCCTGGCCCATACTCATTCCTCAATAGATACTACATATTTATAATGAACAGCATCACTTCTCTAACTATTTTTCCTTTGGGGAACTGACCCTCCCACATTTCATATGGTCCTAGGAGGCTGCTAATCTCAGAACTCCCTCCACCACCCACTCCTGTTACAGGGAGTATTAACCGTACCTCTAATCTTCACAAATGGGGTGTGTTGCCTTCTACTGATTAAGAATAGTCAGGTGAGGCAGGGTTTCCATCTGAGCAAAAGTCTATTAGAGGAGAGAGAGATGCAAGCAGAGTTGGGGAGGGCTTAAGAAAATGTTTAATACCGGTTTCCCAGTACAAAGGTTTTACTGAGGTTTGAAAGGTTTTGGTGGGGAAAGGGCATCATGTTTATTCATAGGAGGGGACTTCCAGGAAATGGCCCATTTAGGAGAGGCCATGCTAATTGGGTACGTGGGCAGTATTTCCTCAAGATGGATTCCACTGTAAAGGTCTGTGGTAGGAGCAGACAAAATTTATGATGGGATGTTACTAAGGTTTCAGCCGCTCCCAAGGGCTGGCTTTTTCCTTCACCAAGGAAAGGTCATCCTTCAAGGTGGGGGAATGAGGTGGCTCTGTAGGTATCACACTGGATTTCGAAACATAAGGTTGGTGGTTTGGGTCTACCAGCCATTCTGTGTGAGAAAGATGAGGCTTTCTGCTCCCAAATATTTATAGCTTTCAGAATCCCTATACCAACTGGATGACACTTAACAACAACATGGGTGGTCTGGTTATAGTAAACAGATTGTAAAATAGGCAAGGTCTTGGGATTAATGCTTTCATGCCCCCTAGGTCCCTGACTCAGGGAGATTTGGAGAGCTCAAGCAGCAGATGTTAGGATTTGGGTTGCATGAGGGCCTCAGCCGGATCCATCATAGCTGCTCAAGGGGCTTCTCCGAGGGGAAATGGGGCTCCAGTTCTTATAAATCATCCACCACTGATATTCTACTCAATGAACATTAACCGAGCACTTACTGTGTAAATCCCAGGCACTGAGCCAGGAGATGGGGGTATCAGAAGGAACCAGAGACTTCATGTCATTGAGACAGTCTTTGCTTTTCTAGTAACTCTTTCTAAGAGGCTTGCTAGGCTTCCTGCCTTATTCCCATATAAGCAAGAGCAGCCAGATCTCTTCTTACAGAAATCTGAATCTTGCTAAGACATACAGGGCAAAAAAGGAGTTGGAGTCGTCATTCTCCAGTCAAAGAATTGGATCTTTGACTTCCAACTGTTGAGGTACCCGGAGTGGACCCAGCTCTTGTCTCAATTCTCTTTCCAATAACACTTTCATCTGAATGAGTATCTTTACTGGAAACCAAGGAATCTTTTTTTTTCTCCCAAGTTTCAGGTATTTATTATTCAGTGTAAATCCCAACACTATACATCAACATGATTTCTTGCATTTAAGGGAACAAAGATATTCTGGTTAAGTGGGAAATTGTGTGGATGGCTTCTGGAAGACATTCATTCTAAGCAACTTTAAGGGAAAACATTTCATTTAGAAGTCAGGGCCTTTTTTCTTCAATCTGCTGTAATCCACATTCACTGAGTAGAGAATTTGTATAGCTCATTGGGATCAGTTTGTTTCATGGTTCTGAATTAGTGTTTCTGTCCCAACTAACATCTGTCTTCAGCAATGCCAGATGCATGACATACAGTGCTGCTCAAATACCTCCAGCTCCAATAAATACGAAGAGAAATACCAAGCTCGGGTGTTTCTTGGACTGACTGAGGATCTGCTGAAGCATGTTTGTAGAAGAAGCCTCGGGTCCAGAAGGAGAAAACAAAGCTGGCAGGCCCAGAACCTAGGACTCTCTCAAACCAAGGAATCTTAATGCAAAATTCATTTGTTCATCCATTTACTTGTTTAAAAGTATTTAGTAGGTATGCACAATGCCCTAAGTATCTTCTCTGAAGGAAAAAAAGACAGCACATTTCACACTAGATGATTTCTACATTCAGCTTTTCAGCTATCTCTTTTCCAGTACTTTTTACATTCTACTTTATTAGAAATTAACTTCTGGATGCATACTTCTAGATTAAATAAAAACAGTGACATCATCCAATATAAATTTGTATAATTTACAAGTACCAAAGCACCATGTCAAACACATAGAAGAAATTCAATAAATGCAAATGGATTGAACAAATAAAAGTTGGTTCACAGGTTAACTTGTGTCTGTTCTCTAGGAGTGATTTCTTTTACTATTATTTTTAGCACAGGGAATTAATCCATCATTAAGTGTAGGCAACACTCAGATTACATGGCTGTCAATTAGTTTTGTTTTTTGTTTTTTTGTGGGAGGGGATCTTCCCTTTGCTGTAATCCTAGGAAAAATAAGTCTTTAAAGAAAAATAAGTTTAACAAAAGGAATTATACACTCAGAGTCCTGGTGTAGTGCTGTAGTATAGTACTGGATTGCTAACTAAAAAGTTGGCAGTTCAAACCCATCAGCTGCTCCTCAGAAACCTTATACAGGATAGCTATGAATCAGAACTGACTTGATGACATTTAACATTATACCCTCAAGAATAAAATAATGCCTGAGGCTTCTTGAGTCTGGGTGGCGCAAATGGTTAACATATTCAACTACTAACCGAAAGGCCAGAGGTTCCAGAGGTTCCATTCCGCCAGCCCCTACAATGGCATACATGGAGTCGGCAACAAGTCTGGGTTGATTCTAATGCAAATGTCTTAAATGATGTTAAATTGTAAGTGCATCCAGTCAATTCCAACTCAGGGCAACTCTGAATAGGATTTCCAAGTAGCCACTGGTGGATCTGAACTACTAACCTTGTGGAGTATAGCATCTCTCTTTATCTTCATAACCCTTCCTCATGCACCTTTGTCAAAGGAGGAGGGCCTGAAAGATTGCTACTTGAACAGTATTTTACAAAGTTGTGACCCCACTGGCATTTCCATTGAGGTTACCAGAGATGGTTAAGTGAAGAATGTAAGGAACACATTCTGATAAGCCAACAAGCTGAAATTCTCCTTGCCATAAGCACAGTATTTCAATATGCATAGTCTTTTTTTCTTTTTATTCACAAGAGACCACCTTTCTGACGCTAAAATCCTTGAGAGGATGGCTACCAAGTCATCGTTTGATAAATTCAAACAACTTACTGGGAAGAGGAAGGAGCGTATGTGAGATGTTAGATTCAGGTGGCGCACAGTAAAAATGCAGGCCTTGGATGCAGGCCTTGGAGTTTTCCACACATGGAATCAAACCCTAACTTTGTTCCTTCAAAGCTGTATGATCTCTTGCAAGTCACATTACCTGAACCTCAATTCTCCTTAGCTCTAAAATGGAGCTAAAATACTGACCTTGGAAGGCCTACGTGAAAACTTAATGTGGTAACATCGTCAAAGGCAAGACACACAGCTGTTATTAGTGTTATTAAGCGCTCCATTGCAAAGATCAGAAAACCGAGGCTGGGGCCCTGCGGTACCACCCACTAGAAAGGCGGGGCCAGACGCCACGGGGCGGGGTCAGGGTCAGGCGGGGAGTCGCACCACCCTCCCCCCACAGCGTGATCTGACGCCGTCCTCCCACCGCGTCTCTCTCACTGCAGGACCTGCATCCCCTCGCCTCCACCCCGGCAGCCCCTTGTTGTCCCCGCTACCCCCTCGTCCCGCTAGAGGGGCTCGCATCCCGCCACCCGCCCACCCTACGGAACCTCACGCCTCACCTTGCCACGTTTCCCTCCTCCGCGCCTATGAGCCGCAGGCCACGCGCACGCCCTTTGGCTTGCGTGCTCGCTCCTGAGCGGCGCAGCCGCGAGCGCGCCGCGCGCCCGCCGCCACCACCCCCTTTGCGGCCTCGGCCCCCTCTCACTCTTTTCCCCAGCCTAGGTCCGCGCGACCCCCTCCACCTCCACCGTTCTCTCTTCGTCCCCTGCCCGCGCCGCGCCGCGGCTTCTCAGACTTTTGAGTCCGAGCAGTTATCATTCTTTCCTTGGGGGCGCTTTGCCTGTCGCCAGAGGCTTCCCTGTGCATAGTGCCGTTTGAGCCCCTTCACAACGTGGTGAGGTGGACCCGACCGGTACTGTTTTGATCTTGTGTTTTTTGACATTCCTACCTCTACGCACTGCTCGCCCTCCGCCCCCTCGTGCAGCAAAGGAAACTGAGGCTAAGGGACTAGGCCCAAGGACGTCGAGAAGTGGCCACCTCACATATCGGGGTGTTGGAATGCCACCCATGGATTAACCAGATTGATTGGCTGAGCAGGGTACGCTTTATTCAGCTGCTGCTGGATCGTCGAAATTGTCTTCTCTGGAAAGAATCATCCCCTCTTTGGGCTTCAGAGGCCTAAATTGAGGCACAATGATGAGAGGATGTGGTGGTCCACTCTGATGTCAATCTTGAGGGCTAGGTATGTCCCAACATCTTTTATTACTATTATCATTACTATTTTAATAGCCACCATTTGTTGAATTCTTACTGCATGCCAGACATTGTACAAAGGTTACGCACATGGTCTCTTTCAAAAACAACCTTATGAGGTAGGCGCTATTATGACTACATTTTCCAGAAGAAATTTAGGCTCCATGCACTTACAGGCATACCTTTATTGC